TGAATGATAGAACTGAGCCTTGCTGACCATTTAGTTCAATGCACTCGTTTAACTGATGGGGAAGTTGAGTCACAGAGTGCCTGGTGGCTTACCCCTGTCACACAACTGATTGGGAACAGAGCTGTATGGAGAGCACTGATCTCCTTATTTCCCATTTAGCAAACTTTATATCACATCGTATAGCTGATCCTAAGCAATTTTTAGGGTCCAGATAAATCATTTTCAGTTTTTTCAAACTGGCTTGAGTTTTCAGAGGATGCTTTGGTATTCACTATTTTATACATATTTAAGAGGTTATCTCAACATTGGAAATAATATTTTCCTCATCTCCACCTCCAATTTCTAACTCTGCCTCAGCTGAAAAGTTAACCCATTTCTTTGATTCATGCTAATTCTTTAATCAGAATCCACTGATATTTGGGGACAATGCTACACTGCCCAGAATCACTGTCTTGGCCACAGCAGCTGCTGATACAATACTTCAAAATGCTCTTAACTTGGAGCTGTGGCCAATGGAGTTGTCTTGAAAAATGAGAAAGGGTGAAGTGTCCTGCTAATGACATTCCCTCCGCTTGGAGGGGAGCTGTGGCTTTGAAAAGGCCGATTGTGGAAAATCCACTGGCAAGAGGGAGCTAGAAAGGAACCTGACCTTGCCTCAGGCAGTTGTAAGTCCCTATGGACAAGTTCAGTGTCTTGCCAACTCTGTGAGGAGTTGCTGAGGACACAGTGTGATTAACCGAGGAATCCTTGTATGCTTCAGAGGCAGACGGTGAGTAAGTGCATCATGTGTCTCAAACGGTGAAGGTGCTGGCTTGAACTCAGGGTGAGCTTGTTAGGGAAACAGGGTGACACCATTTTAAAATCAACTCCATCTTAAAACTAGCAAGGCACATTCCTTTCGAGTCATGACCCATGGTCATGAAATGTTTATGGCTGAGGAAACAGATTAATAATGCTTGTAAGGAGAAACCCTACTACTATGAAATGTCCAAATGTCCCGATATCACATAATAATATATGCTTTTAAGATGATTCTAGAGATGCTTGGATGTACCTACACACTAAAATACCAAAAATAACTTTTTTTTAATCAACAAAGTAATACATCTTGTCACGCTGTTGGCCCACTCTCACATTGTCATAGCTTCGCTTTTACATAGATAAGACCCTTGTATAAGAAAAGCTGAAAGATGATGCATTCCTCTGCTTGCTTTCTGAGGACACCCTACTCTGGAACTGAGTAACTTTCAATAAACTATCTCTTCTCAGTGCTTTCTGCGACTGACCTTGAATTTCTTCCTACACGAGATCCAAGACCCTCTCTTGGTGTCTGGATCAGGACCCCCTTTTTCGGCAACAAGATTTCTGTCATTTGGGGGAAAAAAATCCTCATTTCTTCTAGATGTCTAAAAATGCTTCACCTCATATTTACACCTAGAACTCGAGTCTGACCTATAAGATACTTAAGAGGCTGAGGGTTCATATCTCTGTGCAGCCCAGGGTCTGGTTGTCCCCCAACTCCCATGGCCCACTGATTAATGTGCACTTCAATTTTTCACTGAATAGCTCAGCATCAAGAAAATGGCCTGTGAGCAAGCCTGCAATTTGAAACAGTTCCCTGAGGTCATGGACAATGGCCAGCTGTCTTCTCTCTTGATTACTGGGAAAGGAGGGAAGGAGATTGGACTGACACGTCCAGGTTCTATACAGGCTATGTGTGCTTTGAATTTGATGATGTCTGTGCTAGCCATGAAAGTCTGACAGAATGGCTATGAGTTGGTGGCTGGTTGTGAGTGTGGCTCAGAGCAGGTGTGAGGGTCATTGGTGAAAACTGGAGACTTGTCATGAGAACTACACAATAAGCAAGATCCCATGGCAGTGTCTGTGTGTGTGTATGTTTAGAGGAGGCAGTGTACAGGGAAGAGGCTAGAAAACTCCTGGCTTCCAATTCTTTTCTCCCATGAGAACCCGTTTTCATATTTTGTAGCAAACTTGGAAGGGTCAGCCCTTCTCTGAGCCATCCTCCTTGTTGATGGCCAAGCATTGTAAGAAATAAAAGCTTCATCTTGGTAAAGTCTGACTGCCCGAGTTGTTGTCTACTATATCTGCCACATTGGGGCACAGGCAAAGCCTTGATAGGAGTAGCAATAGTGACCTCAGAGACATTTGGTGCCTGCTCCTGACATGCCCAAAGGAATTGTGCATGCTATAGCCATGCCTGCCTTGCAACTGCGCTTGACTTGATGAGGAAGGTGTGGACTGCCTGGCTGCATTGAAGACAAGGGTAGCAAAGAAATAAGTCTGGAAAGGGCTGGCTCTACCTTCCAAGGCAGAAGTTGTATGCCTGGGCAGGAAATGGACAGCATGAAATAGACCTCCAACTTTTAGATGTGGGCATAGTGTTCTTTTCTTCAGTTGTACTACAGGCTGTTCCCAGCTCCAGGGACTCTGCTATTGACTGTATAATGGTTCCAAATATTCCCACTTCTTTGTCTTCATGCCTTTTGCAATGTGGTCTCTCATCAAGAGATAAAGTTCATTTACCCACTCTTGCATCTAGGCTGGTCTCAGGTCTTGCTTCGGACAACAGAAATGTGGCAAAAGTGACAGTGTGCCAGTTATGAGCCTTGATCTTAAGAGGCCTTGTGAACTTCCACTCACCCTCTTGGATCCCACAATGACCCTGTGAACAAGCCTGGGCTAGCCTACTGGAGGAAGGAAAAATGTGGCCCAGTCATCCCCATGGACCCAGTTAACAGTTGTCAGTTCCCAGAAGGAGAACCAACTAATTTACCTGCAGTTAACTACAGACACATGAGGAACCCAGATGAGCTCAAGAGAGGCACCCAGCTGAGCCCAGCTTAAATTGCTAACCCACAAAATTGCAAGTAAAATTAACAATTGTTGTTTTAAGCTACTAAATTTGGGGGTGATTTGTTCCATGGAAATAGATAACAGACACACACCCCAATGGGAGTAGGTGAGGAGAAGGCCTGGGCTGTTGCTGAGGGTGGGAGCGAGAGCCAAGAGTTGCCTGAGGTCAGGAAGCCTCAGCAGGTAGGTCTTACCTTGAGGCCCTCCTGGAGACTGGCCAGGGGAAGCCAAAGTCCCAAAATAAGATGGGGTGGCAAGGAGCCTGGGGCACAGCTGGCAGGAATAATAAGGACCAGGACACGTGGTTACCCTGGGCAATAAATAAAACTTTAATAATGATAAGGAGTTGCTTTACGCATGCGCTCTTTCCAGGTGCTCTCTTCTTCCAGGTTGTAGGTCTTGACCACATCACTGAAGTGGTCTCTCCGTGATATAAAATCCTGATTCATTAGCATTAAGTCACCAGGGAATTCTGATACGCAGAAAAGATTTCGGTTCGTTAGGCCTGTGATGGAGCGTTCCGGTTTCTTTGTGGGGAGGAGAGATTTGCGATCATTTCCATGGTATGTCAAACATTTTTTTGGTTCTTTTGACTTGAAAACTACATTCATTTTTATTTCTCGTCTTTTTGTGTTTTTTCCCTCTGCCACCTCTTTCTCATCTTGGTTGGCATCATCACAATTACGGGTGTCATAGTTGTCCTCCTTTTGTCTGGCCTTATTTTTTGCCATTGGACCCAGGTCCACCCCAGACAGAAATGAGGAGCGTGTAAACCTTTCAATGTAGGGTAAACGCTGATGATTTCCCAGAGCCCGAGCAAGCCTCATTCTCTCTATGTGCTTACTGACGTTCACCTGCTCTCGTTGCGGCATTTTAAATGCCTCTAGGGGCACAATCACCTTTGCTGTCCATATTTTTTCTAGGGGTGCACAAATAGCACAAGGTAAGGAATGTTCCTTTTTATACTCCGTTGCCCGTTTGTAGTCCGGAGATGACAACTGTAGTTCCTTGAGCATTTGGCATTCTTCCTCGTGCTTGTAAGCCAAAAGCCTTCTTGCTGCTATGGTGTGAATGCCACCTAGATGCTGACAATGCAGAAAGGATTATTAAAATCTCAAGAGCGCAGGGGCAGGTGGCACCCACAGAAACAATTCGCTAGTGACTGGTTCTCCCCCCGTTGTGGAAAGTGTTTGAGCCCCTCTGTAGTGGAAAACAGGTGAACCTTTCGGGTCAGATAACCTTGGGTTCAAATCCTGACTCTCCTCTGACCTACAATGAATTCAGAATAATTTTATTGACTTTACAGGGTCTTGGTGAAGCCTCGACAAGACAACATATATGAAAGTGACCAGTGCAAGGTAAGAGCTGAAGAAATAACTGTTTTCATCATTTGTTATTACTTATATTTGTAAGTGGGACTTGTCGGTAAAGGTATTTTGCTATGCAAATGTGGAAGCCACTAGCAGATTCAGCCAATACAAGTCTACTGTTGGAGAGGCGGCTCTGTTACTGGTGGTTTCTGAACCTTTGGCTCCCCCTAGCTAAACTGGCTGGCTTCAGTGGGGCCCCTCTGTGTGAAAATTGCGGGACACTTACTAGGATCTCTTTTTCCAAGGGGGAGTATTTCCCGAGGGCAATCCGTGGGTCTGATCTGTAGAATTTGCTCCATGTCCTGCAAGAAGAGAAGCAGGAGTATCAGAATTATCAGAATTCTGGAAAAGCTCTTCCTACTTTTCCCTTCTGGAGTAGGAAGGCTCATAAAGGGTTATTCTGCACCAGCCAGGCTGAGGCCGCCATGAGCAGGAGTTTCTGTAACCACTGGGTAGACTTCTCCACTTGGCCTCTTTCTGACATGGACAGACTAAAGTGCAAGTCAGACTCACCCCAATGGTGAAGCAGAACTCAGATCCTCTTGACAACACACTGGGGCTTGATCCTGAAAGGAATAGCTGGTATTAAATATTCTGACTGACTTTTCATTCTTCCTTTCTTGGGCCATTGTGTCACTAGCCCTCTGTTTTTCAATCCTCTGACAGTCATTCTTCCGTTCTCTGATCATACTCTGCCAATAAGCTAGGACGGGAGGTGTTCATGCCTGGAGTTTGTTTCTAAGACAATGTGATGAGGGCCCGAGGGTAAGTCACAAACATTTCTTGCATCATAACTGGCTTACCTGGGGGCTATTGTGAGGTCTGAGTTTGAGACACTGAATGATCCCCTGGGGTGAAATGGACACACACTGCCAGGCTCCTGGTGTGTTGGAGTCCAGAGGAAGAGAATGGATAGAGAATGTGGCTGGGAGGCAATCTGCCCATGTCACTGCCACTGACAAACCCACAAGACTGCTCAGTTTTCACAAGAGGAAGACTCAGTCAACTAAGGTCTCGCTCACTGGCTTTTGCTTGTCTCTTCAGCCTTAGCTCCTCATGCTTGATCAATGCCACACTATCCATCATTCTCAAAACAAGCGTCTAAGCTATTGTTCACAGTCCCCTCATGTGTTGAATACCTCTCTTATCCTTGGCAATTTGCTTGTCTCTCAAGACCTAGCTTAATTGTTGCTTCCTCTGAATATCTCCTTGCAGAATAAATCACCCTTTGTCCACGTTCTCATAGCACTTTCTGCATGATGCTATGGTGCTTTCTCACATACCGACTTGCTTGGTAAGTCAGATTTCTTGGTAAATCTGTCTCTCCCTCTATTTAAAGAAGGTACCAACAGCATCTTATTCTTCTTTGGGGCATGGTTCTCAGCAGAGGGCATGGTGTAGGGCAGATGTTCAGTTTGCTAACTCAATAAACAATTGTCCTGAGTCCCTGTTCAAAGGTGTGGTTAAGAATGGCACTGGTGGGAATGGATATTGCCAAAACTCTATGGAAGGTAATTTGGCAATATGTATCAAAATTTTAAATGTATTTGCCAGTTATGTGGTACAAAATAAATTACGCACAAGGTTGGTCAGTGCGACCTTGTTTGAGGTGACAAACCTCATGGCAAACTCAAATACCCATTAACCAGTAATTGGTCAGAGAATTCTAGTTAGCCATACAATGGAGTAGCATAAGAGTATAGGACTATAGAAGTCAAAATGATCAAGGAAGGAAGACCTTTACTTATATGGAAATAACTCCAAGAAACATAATTAAATGCAAAAAGCAAGATGATAACATATATACATTCTAGAATAGTTTTTTGTGTTCGAGAGGGAAAAAATAAGCATGTATGCATTTGTATTTGCATAAAGAAACTTCAGAATAATACACAAAAAACTAATGAAACAGTAGGTATTCAGCAGATGAAGTGGTGGGAATGAGCCATTTCATGGTATACATGATTATATCATCTTGAATGTAGAACCACATGAATGTATTAGGTATTTGAAAACATAAATTTAAAAAGTAAAGAAGCAGATCATGGAAAAAGATTGCCATGTTATGTCTGACAAACACAGGTCCTAAAATTCCTTTGCCTTACCTGAAATCCACAATGGATATTTGTGAGTTGGGCCAGTGCTCGGACCCATGTAGGTGCTAAAATACAGAGGTACTTTTCCAGTCGACACAGGCAAATTCAGTTACCTGGACCATTTGCGAGCCTGAGCATCAGCAGAGGGCCTCTGAGCAGTGAAGAAAATGCCTTTTGCAGTGCATTCATTGGCTTTCCCATGTGTCCCACACTCAACTGCTAATTAAGAGTGACCTTGAACAAGCCATACAACACCTGGCACATCATATGCACTCAACAAATATTTCTGGAACAACTGATGGGATTGTTGGACTCCAATTGATGGAATGTCATGTACCCATTAAAAATTGAATCTTTAAAAAATTTTCAATAATATGACATAATGGGATGCAAAAATAAGCAGAATATAAAACTTATGTAGGATATAATTTGGATGCTGTAAAAATACAAATATACAAGAGGAATAAAAGACCAAAAGGAAATACACAGTGACACTAAGGTTACTTCAGGCTACAGGCTTGTGGAGATATTCCAGGGCTGCTGGTGCATCAGCAGCCTGGTCAACTCCAGATATTTAGATGGAAAAATTATGGCCCTGCCACAGCAGGTACAGGCAGGTAAAGGTGCCATTGTCAGGGCCCAGCTCCTCCAGACTTCAGAGAAAAGGAGGGTGAGAAAGGATACTATCAGGGGAAACCCCATCCCCGATATTAACGTGGGTTCTTTTCTATTTCCCTAAGCATCTCAGCTGGTTTGAGAAATAAAGGGAAAGAGTACAAAAGAGAGAAATTTTAAAACTGGGTGTCCGGGGGAGACATCACATGTTGGCAGGTTCCGTGATGCTCCCTGAGCCGTAAAACCAGCAAGTTTTTATTAGCAATTTTCAAAAGGGGAGGGAGTGTACGAATAGGGTGTGGGTCACAGAGATCACAGGCTTCACAAGGTAATAGCATATCACAAAGCAAGTGGAGGCAGGGCGAGATCACATGACCACAGGATGGGGCGAAATTAAAATTGCTAATGAAGTTTCGGGCACGCATTGTCATTGATAACATCTTATCAGGAGACAGAGTTTGAGAGCAGACAACCTGTCTGACCAAAATTTATAAGGTGGGAATTTCCTTGCCTAATAAGCCTGGGAGCACTACAGGAGACTGGGACTTATTTCATCCCCTCAGCTTCGACCGTAAAAGATGGCCACCTCCAAGGGGGCCGTTTATAGACCTACCCTCAGGACACATTATCTTTCTCAGGGATGTTCCTTGCTGAGAAAAAGAATTCAGCATTATTTCTCCTATTTGCTTTTGAAAGAAGAGAAATATGGTTCTGTTCCATCCAGCTTACCGGCAGTCAGAGTTTAAAGTCTTATCTCCCTTGTTCCCTGAACTTTGTTGTTACCCTGTTCTTTTTGCAAGGTGCCCAGATTTCATATTGTTCAAACACACATGCTCTGCAAACAATTTGTGTAGTTAACGCAATCCTCATAGGGTCCTGAGGCAACATACATCCTCTTCAGCTTACGAAGATGATGGGATTAAGAGATTAAAGTAAAAACAGGCATAGGAAATCTCAAGGGTATTGATTGGGGAAGTGATAAATGTCCATGAAATCTTCACAATTTATGTTCAGAGATTGCAGTAAAGACAGGTGTAAGAAATTATAAAAGTATTAATTTGGGGAACTAATAAATGTCCATGAAATCTTCACAATTTATGTTCTTCTGCCATGGCTTCAGCTGGTCCCTCCGTTTGGAGTCCCTGACTTCCTGCAACAGGATACACCTGGGCGGGATGTCACCACAGCAACAAGGCTCTACACTATGGGCAAGTCCGGTTTTCTCACACCTGGTTCCACAAACTACTGCTTTGAGCTCACTTCCTTCTCTCCTTCTGTTTCTCTCATTGTCATTCCCAGGCTTTTTGCTTTTGTTTTCTTTTACAGATATTTCCCCTCAATTGTTTTTACATTAGGTTTTATTCTTGAATTTTACCTGGTTTTGTCCTGACTTGTATTCACAGGCATCAATCTCATCTCCTGGTTCATTTTCAAATTCTCTTGACCTGCCTTTCACATCTGTCTTTTATCTTTTACTTCATGTTTACTTCATTTCTTTGTCTTGTACCCTTTACCTTTTATACATATTTCATTTATTCTTAATATTTGTAAACACTTTTACCTATCGTATCAGGGTTCTCCAGAGAAAAGGCAATACAATTTGTGTGTATATGTACACACACACATACACACATATACACAAATATATGTATACACATATACATATATATAAAAATCCAATTCTCTCATATGAGAGAGACTTATTACTTATTATTTATTTTAGGGAATTGGTTCACATGATTATAGAGGCTAGCAAGTGCAAAATCTGCAGGGTAGGCTGGCAGGCTAGAGGCCCAGGAAGAAGTCAGTGTTGCAGTTCAAGTCCAAAGGCCATCGGATGGCAGAATTGCTTCTTGCTTAGGAAAAGGCAGTATTTTATTCAATTCAGGCCTTCGTGAGGCTCATCCACATAATACAAGGCAATTGGCTTTGCTCAAATGCCACGGATTTAAATGTTAATCTCATCCAAAAACACTGTCCCAGAAACATTCAGAATAATAGATCATATCAAATACCTGGGCACCATGGCCTAATCGAGTTGACATAAAATTAACCATTACACCTACTTATATTTCATAGGTTTTTAATAATTTGCTTAAATGTTTTAAAATATCAGGCTTTTAGTTTTTATACATCATTTCATCCATTATTGAACTTTATATTAACAGATTCATGTAGTACGTATTCCTTTGTGTCTGCTTTGTGCCCCTTATTATGAAAAAAAGTTACAGTTCTCTCATTGATATCCTTGTACATTCCTTTTCATTGTTGTTTAGCATGATGATGCTACGATTTATTTATCAGTCATCTGTTGCTTACATTTCAGTGGTTTCTGATTTGGGGAACATTCTTGTACATGTCTCCTTGGGATTATGTGCATGCTTTTCTCTACCAATTCACATTCCCACCAGTAGTGTATGAGAATCCCTGTTGATACTCATCTTGCCAATACAGGTAGATAAGTTGTGGTATCTTGGATGGTTTTCATTTACATTTTTCTGGTTACAAATAAAATTGAACACTTTTTCTATTGGCCATTGAGATTGCTCTTTTGCAATGTCTATTCAAGTCTTTTGCTCACTATATTCTAGTTTTCGTTTTCTTATTGATATGCAAGATTTCTTTATATGTTCTTGATATAGGCCCTTTGTCAGTTAAATGTGTTGCAAATATCCACTCCTACTCTGCAATTCACCTTTTTACTTTCTTTAAGGTGTCCTTTGATGAACGGAAGTCCTTATTTTTATACTAGCTGCACTCTAATTTATCAGCCTTTCCCTTTATGGTTAGTGCTTTCACGTCTTGTTTAAAAAATCATCTCCTACCTCAAGTAGGAGTGATACTCTCACATATTATACACACACATACACACACATACACACATACACATACATACACATACACACACAGGTACACATACACACATACAAACACGTACACACATACACATACAAATACACACACATAAACATACATACACACATATACATACACACACACATAGATACACACACATACAAACACATACACACACAGACACATACACATACACGC